AAGGAGGAGAGAAGAAAACGCACCCCGCTTCTGGCTGTACTTGTCGATCAGCTTGACGATCTTGGGGCGCAGTGCCATGCTGGATCGGTAGAGTTCCTGGGGGTGTATACAGTCAGCATCGAGGTCTCGACGGTGGCAGGCGAGATATAGGAACGAGTACAAAGCCATCGCGCAGGGCGAAAGCAGCCATCGCGCAGGGCGAAAGCACCGCACCGCGTCTTGCAGAAACGAAGGCATCCCTGTCTGGCAAGAAGCCTCCGCGTCGTACTGCGTCGCGCTATCGAGCACGCAGCATACGTCGCGACCCAAACGGTGGGTCGAAAGGCCACGGCATGAATCGCACCCATCGCACTCCTTTCCCGCCCAAAAAGAACCCCGCTCAAAAAAAAAAACACACACCTGAATCTCCTCATCATCCGCCAAATTGTCCCCCTTGCTCGGGTCGAGCGCGCGCAGCATATTGAGCAGCCGCTCCACGTTGACCGCCTGCGCGAACACGGCAGCCTCCTGCGCAGCTTCCGCGGCGAGCTCGGCGGGCGTAGGCTCCGGGAGGGGTTCCTGCGGGGTGGTTAGCGAGAGTTGTGAGGAGGGGGGGAAGAATAGGGAATAAACGCGCGCGGCCAGTATGTCTCTTTCGGGGAGGACGGGGGTAGGTAATGTGTAGTGTGGTATCGTGGAGGGAATGGGAATGGACGAGTTGCGCGTGGAAGGGACGGGCACCGACGCCTCTTCACAGGCGCATGCCTCGCCAGAAAACAGAGCAGAGGGAGACACTCACCACATAATTAACTGGGAATATCCCCGTCCGCCCGCGCAGCTGCCCGCGCCACCAGTCGCGGTACCCGCGGTCGACGACCTGGACATATAAGGAAAGGAGGTGGTCAGCGTGAGCAAGGGTGTGTTGGGCGGAATGGAATAGAGGGATTGTGGTTAAGCGGAATAGAGGCGGCGGCGGGGGTACGACACGACCCCGCGCCCACGAAAAAAAAAAAGAGACAAGATAAGTGTTTACGATCATTGCATCGCCGAAAAGATAAGAAAGCGCCAAGCGCGGCCGCCCTACACTGCACCTCTCTTCCAGAAGAAAGGTCCAAAAGAGCGAGGCATAGGCTCCAACGCGGATTGGATTGGGGTAAAGCACAGAACAACCCGCCCACCACCCGCGCAGAGACGAAGAGCTCCCGGTGTAGGAATCAGTTCGCCGCGCGGAAACGCTACCACCCCCTCGCTCCCCAGCAAAGCGAGCCTGCGCTACCGCTCACCACCCGCGCAGAGACGAGCTCCGGTCGCCGACACACCGCATCCGTGGTGGCCCCCGCGCCACCCGCGGAAATACGACTAGCCGCGGCCGCCGCACCCTGCAAAAAACGGGTCCCGGCTATCCAGGCCCACGACGCGCCGCCCAGGAAACCGCGCTCCCCAGCGAAATGGCGCAGGGTGAAGCGACGACTCGATGGCTGGCCCATGAGCACGCCTGCACAAATAGGTCTCCGGATATCCAGGCCCGCGGCGTCGCGCCTCCCTCCCTCTAAAAAAAACCCCCTCCCCCCAAAAAATAAAAACGCCCTCCCCCTCAAAAGAAAAAAATTACAACAGTCGAAAAAATACCCACCTTAATAACATCCCCCTTCTCGAACCCCAGCTCGCCCGCCTCGGTCGGCGTGAACGGGTGCAGCGCGCGCACGCGCGTCACGATCGCGCCCGGGTCGATTCCGCCTCCTGTGCTGGTCGTCGTCGTTGATGGGCCTAGGGGTTAGTGAGTATGGGAGGAGAGAGGAGATGCAAGTAAAGGAGGAGGGAGAGCATTGTGAGCGGAAGGAAGGTAGGAGGGGGGAGAGGAGGAGAGGCCAGAAGCGGGGCAGCGTGGCGGAAGGGAATGAGGTAGGCGGGGAGGGAGGGGCAGGGAGATAGGGACGAAAAGCGACCAAGGCGCAGAGCCGAGGCACGACAACGATAGAAAGGAAGCAAAGGAAAGGAAAGCAAATACACACCATAATCAGCCGGCGCAGGCGACGGCGTGCGCTCCCTCTGCTGCTGCGTCTGCTGCGCAGGCGTATACCCACTCGTAAACGCCGCCGCCCCCCCATACCCGCCGCTCATCCCGCTCATCCCCCCCGCTCCCCCACCTCCCCCCGAGCTGCCGGCGCTGTACTCCAGGTCCGCGTTGGCGCCATATCCCGCAGCTGCGGTAGACGAGGACGACGTGCCGCCGTAGCTTGCACCCGCAGACGCACTAGACGCACCCGCGCCAGAGGAGGAAGTGCCGAATGTAGAGGAGGAGTAGTCCCGCCCCCCGCGGTCGCGCACGCTCATCTCGAGCACGCGCTGTAGCTCTTCCTCCTCTTTGCGCCGGATGGCGTCGTCGACGGCGGGCGGGGGCGCTTCGACGGGGGGTGTGTATTTGTAGTCTGCGGATGGGGTTAGTGAGAGGACGGGAAGGGGTGGATGGCGTGAAGAAAAAGAAGAGAGAAGGGAGAGAAAGGCGGAAAAAGAGGGAGGTGGGGAGGAGGTGAGGAGGAGGGGAAGAAGGGGAAGGTCAATATGGACCACCCATCGGGAAGGACGACCGCCCCCAAGTGCCGTTCCGCCCAATTCTAGCTACCTGCCGTTAATCTCTCAGTGGTGCTCGCTCGGCTCTTCGGGCCTCCCTCGCTCGCGGTCAATATGGACCACCCATCGTCATCGGCCCCGCCCCCCGGCCCCAAACCCCAACCGCCAAAAAATACAAGAAAAGAAAAAACTCACTCTTTGCCTTGAGCCCGTCGTAGCACTCCTGCATAATGCCGAGGGTGCTGTCGTGTGCGAACTCTGCGGCCCACATGGCGACGAGGCCGAGCGCGCGCGTGCGCACCTTGTCGTGCGTTGTCTGTTTGTGGAAGGGAGGTGAGTATAATATTATAATAAATTAGGTAGGGAAAGAGGGAGGGAAGGGGCAGGATATTTGGGCGGAGGATGAGGACGGAGATGGGCGGGACGTATCCGGCAGCGGGCAGTGGGCGAAGACGCCGCTACCGAGGCAGATACAGCAAATCCGCGAAGTAACGGGTGTACCCAATACCGGACCGCGTATCCGGCGGACGGCGGCGGGCAGATACGCCAAGTAACGGAATCTAGATTCCAAGCCTGGACTCCGTCGCCATCCGCAAGGCTACCGCCGCTCCACGCAGTCCCAGAGCCTACCACGCCCCACCCTTCCAAAAAAAATCAAATCAACGCCGCACTCACCCTATCCGTAATAACCCTCTCCAGCCCGCCCGTCCACGCGCGGCTCGCCAGCTCCCTGTGCAGCTCGATGCTGCAGTTCTTCGACAGCGCCTCCGCAAGGCTCAGCGCATACAGCTGCACGTTCGGGTTGCGGTGCGTCAGGCGGCGCAGCAGCGCGGCGACGACGTTGTGCGCGCCCGTGGGGCCTTCGTCTTGGACCTTGTCGCAGAGGTTGAGGATGAGCTCCCAGTTCTCTGAGGTTAGGTTCTCGTCGGTCGTTTTGACTGTAGGATTTGCGTATCAATATCAGTATCCTAATTAATGAATGGATTTATGGGGGGACGCACTGACGATCTCGTCGTACGGGTTGTTCGACGTTCCTCCGAACATGGTCGTCGTTGCGGTCGTGCGTCCAGTCGTGTAGGTCTTGCTGCAAAGCGGTAACGCAGACTGCGCTTAGCTGTGAGTGTGGCGAAGTCACCCGTCACAGATGCCTGTCACGCCACATCTAATCAATCGCATCTTGCTCTCGACACTCGCGCGCACTGTAGAAGTAATGGCAAAGGGTACGTGGGCGCTATCTGTCTATTCTGCGCATCCCTTCCTTCCCATTCCTTTCCATTCACTTTCCACCCTGTTGTGACTACTCTCATATACTAACCCCCCACCCCCCAGTCCCCCGCAACTTCCGCCTCCTCGAGGAGCTCGAAAAGGGCGAAAAGGGCATCGGCGACGGCTCCTGCTCCTACGGCCTCGACACCTCCGACGACATCCTCATGCGCGACTGGAACGGCACAATCATTGGCCCGGGACATGTGAGTGTTTCGTTTGCTTTATTCCTGGACGAACTGGGCGCTGACACAACAAACAGACAGTCCACGAGAACCGCATCTACTCGCTCAAAATAACATGCGGCGACGCGTACCCCGACGCCGCGCCGACTGTGCAGGTGCGTTACTCTTCCATTTGTGTATTATACGCCCTTGTTATTCCAATCGCTCGAGCTATCATCTCACTTGTTCTGCCATCCATGCCATCCATCCTTTTCTATCCGTTGTTATCATTCATCATTCCTCCTCCTATCGTTTTACTATTATCCTCCTCTTCCTCGTTCTATTCTTCGACTGTCTTTTATTATTCCTCTTCCCCACCCTTCCACTCATCTTCTTCATAATTACCAACACTAACTTACACAGTTCCTCTCCCGCGTAAACCTCCCCTTCGTCGCCTCCACCACCGGCCTCGTCGACCCCGCCCGCCTCGCCGTCCTCGCAACCTGGACCCGCGCGAGTAGTCTCGAGACCCTGTTGGTCGAGATCAGGAAGTACGTGTTTTTTCTTTTCCTCCCCTTCCCTCTCTTCGTTTCTATTTTCCTCTTTCTATTTATTTATTCAAAAGCTCACTTTTATCCTTTCATACGTATTCCACCCTCCCCCAAATACAATAAAACACTAAATAAACCCAACAAAAAAAAACAGAGAAATGGCCTCCCCCGCGAACCGCAAGCTCCCCCAGCCGCCCGAAGGGAGCACGTTCTGAAGCTCCTTTTCTCTTCATTACCCCTTTTTGGTTGGCGTCGGACGTACGAGGGAAGATAGTAGTGTGTCGAGCGGTTGTAGGGACATGTGTTGTATGATAGAGAACAGAACAGAATCAGAATTTAAAGGCTTGTAAATGAACTTCACTTCACGGAACACTACGTATACGAAAATATTTTTCAACCCTTCGACGCAATTGACGGACAGTAAAAGCAAAAAAACAAAGTCGTAAATAATAAAAACAGGACGGATGGACCACACCCTCGGCGGGAGTCGAACCCACGTCGTCCATATATTGAATTCACACTTCTCTAACAACTGTGGAGGATCTACCACTGATCTACGAGGGCTTGAAGAAGGAAGGAGCGATATCAGTAATCAGTAAAGAGGAAACGAGACAAAAAAAGCAAAAATCTCACGACAACATTGCCATGCCCGCGGTGGGAGTCGAACCCACATCATCCACATATCCTGGGAATGCAAAGTGAACAAATATGGAGGATCTACCGCTGATCTACGAGGGCTTGTTTCGGCACAATAAACATGCAGAGAGCAGGTACGGGGGTCCGGGGCAAGGTTGAAAGCAGAAACAAAAGCTTCATCAAGGATGCCATGCCCATAGTTGACTCCGCTTTGTCCACAAATGCAGACGATGTACCGCTGATCCACGAAGGCTTGCGGGAGAAAATTGGACATCCCGAGAGGTGGGAATCTTTAGTAAGTTAGTGCGCAAGGCAAGCAAAAAATAAAAATAGAACGAGCATCCCACATACCCTCGGCGGGAGTCGAAGTTCGCGAACCGGTGCCGTCCATCAGAGACAAATCATTTGCTTCATATCTAAGAAATGTGGAGGATCTTCCGCTGATCTACGAAGGCTTCATGGAAGAAATGGATATCTGGGCATTGCTGGATCAGTACAGCTCCAGATCTGCCGTCGAAGATCTAGGGTCTCGAATTAATTTCCGCGAAACAACCCAACTGCTGGGGCTTGAGGCAACACAAAAAATCATACAAACGGAAGGAGGAAATCAAACAAAAAATGGTGACATCCTACTCATGCCCTCGGCGGGAGTCGAACCCGCGCCGTCCACGAGATTTACTGTCCAACTCATATAAAATGTGGATGATCTACCATTGACCCACAAGGGCTTGACAGCAAATAAGGACATGTGGACACCACTGCATCGTTTATGTATAAACACGCCGTAAGAAAACACCGAGTTGACAAGTCCAATTGAATTGGGGTGAAGTTCTTGCGAACATCCCAAAAAAAACCGAATGCGTTCCAATTCATGCCCTCGAAGCCACAGAACGGTATCCTGTCCTTTACAATAGGTGGATGATATACCACTGATCCACAAGGGCTCGAGTGAAAAGATGATATGTATTTCCGCATTTGTGGCTTTCGACTCGACTTACGGCAGCATCTGACGATACTTAATTTTCTTTCTCTCATTGGATTCATCGAGGTATTTATACCCAAGTACCACCGTAGGAAGATGAATATTATGGTGTTAAACTGCGGGACAGGGTAATCGAAATAGCTATTTATTGCCTATTTACTTATGTGCTTCTACAGAATTGGTCGCAGCTCCTCGAGCGTCACTCACGGCTCGGAGGTGATGCTTCCCACCGTGCGTCCGTCGGAATTTTTGAGCGTCCGGAGCGGGGGCTTGGAGCGCGCGAGGAAACGGTCAAGCGCGTCGGGGGCAGTCGTTTTGCCGGAGGGGAGGGTGAGGGTGTGTAGTTTAGGGGCAATCAGCGTGCGCAGGATGGTGTCGGTGTCAATGTGCTCGGAACCCACGAACACCTCGAGCTCTAGGTATTCGAGATTCGGTGCATGGACGTCATGTGTTTCGAACCAGTCCTCCTCGGATGGCATAATATCCCAGTCGGGTTCGTTGTTTTGATATTCGGTGCCAGGCATCGAGATGGAGAGTGAGACGAGAGAAGGCGAAATGTGTAGGAGGTTCAGGATGGACGTGGTGCACAGAGCATACGAGCCAAACTCCTCGCACTGCAAGTGGAGAGTTCGGAGCTGACTGTGTGGGAGTGGAGGCAGCCGCGTGCAATTACCGTCCAGCACATCAAAAGACAGATGTACAAGCCGAGGCGCAGTGGCGACAAAGAGCAGGTTGGCGTCCAGAAAAAAATCGTTGTTGGCATCGAACGGTGCCTCGGGATCAAAGTCCTCCCAAACGATGATTGTCAGGCGTTCAAGATTCGGCACCTGTGCGCCGGATAGAGTTCGCAGAACCGAGAAGAAGGGAGCCGGCACGGATATCTTGGCATATTTCAATCGCTGGCCATAGGTAATGAGGGCCTCTAGAAGGCCCTTAAGATCGGGGGCATCCCAATTAATACAGTGAACAGCTATGTTCATGGGATAATCGCCGGACCGCGCCATCGAGGCGTGCAGTGCAGCAGTGCGCCCCGGAATGCGCGCCGGCCCAAAGTTTTGATGGTCCCCGCGAACAGAAACGAAGAACGAGGCCCAGAATCTCGGCAGATCGAGAGCGACAAGCCGCCACTGACGACAAATGTGGGACAAGGCGAGCTGCGGCAGATTGGGTGCGATCGGAATGTCCATGAGAAGGTTTTCGTCATGGTCCCACGGATGTCCGGTGTCGCTTCTGTCGTAGCTGTTGCTGTCCTCCTCCCAGTGCCCCAACAGAAGGAGGAGGATTTCGCAAATAACATCGGCCGATAAACGACCACCAATCGATTGGTTGGACGGATTTGTGTGGGAAACCTGAACGGAAATGAGATTTAGACGTTGTAATAGTTGGCAGGAGCCTACTAAATCCATGCCGAGCAAGTCTGAACCCGAGGTCTGCGCGGTTCAGAACAAGGGCAAAAACCAAGCAAAAACGGCATAGTTGGCATGACATGAGGTGATGTACGAGACTACGAGTTGATCCGATGGACAGACCCGTAATCCGCCGATCGCTCTTGAGAAATTTGAAGACGACCGAAGCGACAGAAAGCGGGAGAAAAAAAAGAAGCCCGCATATCTTGTCCCGAGCCCTAATTTCGCTATAGCCACAGGGGAGAGATCAGCAAACGGAATCCAAAGCTCTGATCATGCTATGCCAGTCGCTTCGACTCTTCGAGGCAGAGTAGAATCAGAGTAGATACTGCACCCGAACCTTCGTGCCTCAGGACATTCCGTATCTGATAGGTATCTTGAGGTACGAAATCTACTGCTGCCTCTGGGAGACTGTCCCACGCACACACTGTCCAGGCAGGTATTTATGATACGTATTTTCTCCAAAAACTTGGAAAGATAGCAAACCTGGATATTTCCCATATATATCGAGTGAATCACTCTAAATTTCTCTCCAGAACATGCTGTCGTGGTGGTCTGGTCCCTCGCATTGTCACAATTGTCCCCGCCAATAATGAACTGGTATCGCCTCCACTCACTCCATAGGCGCCAAACGCCCTCGAGTCCATCACAGTTCATAGAACATTTTCAGGGCGTGGCTGGCCTCGTCAAGCTTCACTTTCGACTCTGAGTATCATTTTTCGGGCTACATCTTGGTTTTAAATCAACTGAATCATTTGTAACATTGAATATAATCAATTTGAATTCCCTTTGCTATTCCAAACTTGACACTCATTCGTTTCCGAACGGATCATCTGGGATGACGTTGAGTATAGCACGCTGTATTTTTGGTCAGCCCAGGAGCCGGAAACCGTTACACAATAACTCACCCCACCGCGATAGTGGGAAACAATACAGTTCGGTTTCTTGTCGAACTCCCTTGTCAGCCCGTCCTTTGCGAAGGCCGCGAACTGCCCTCGAGGGAATGCTTCTTCAATCTCGTGCACGGTGGACCGGTTCAACGCGGCCCCTCCGACCCCCAAAAATCCAACGAGGTCGAACTGGGACCCGAGAACGAGGAGCATGCCAACGGCGGAGGAGTTCCCAATGCCAAATTCACTCGTGTGGAGCATGATGCTTTGTACGATGTCCCCGACTTGATGAGCATCCAATCGAGGAGCCGTAGCGTGCAAGTGGTCGTACGCCATGATACCCCCAAAAATTTCAAACGACATTGCATGTGCGGGGTGGGCAACGCTGTCTGGACCGAGCGTCAAACCGAGGTCGTGGAGGATCGCGGCGTGGTAGAGACGTGTGTTCAGCTCCTGGAACGAGATCTGGGGAACGCCGGGGGTGTTGGAAGGGAATCCATTGAACAGGATTACGAGGGCGTAAAAGTAGGTGCGGAGGACGTGGAGGAACCCAATTTTGGGCAGCAGCTTCAGCGCATAATTGTACGAGGCCTTCTGCGCATGATCAAGCGGGAGCGAGTTGAGTGTGTCAAAGGAGACGTAGTTTGGCTGAAGTTTAGCCAAGGCCAAAAAATCAGAGAAATTGGACGGGACGTAAGCGTCGAAAGTAGGAGTGAAGGACATTTTGCTCCAGAAGGTGACTTGAAGGACCGCGGCTCTGAAGTTTATATGCTTTTGTGCGTGGCATATCGGAACATCAAAGGAGACAGTCGATGGAAATAACTTTCCCGGTGGAGCAATGTAGGCACACGGATTTGTGAGCAGGCAACCGCTGCCCTGTGCCACAAGACACGCAAACCTGCGGCAGACACTCAATTTTGATGGATATCGTCGCAAAAGTGCCGGCCTACGCGTCAGCATCATCAAGCGCTTCGAAATGAGTCAATTAGTCTCACAGTAAAGATTGGAAATGTAGCGAGTGCCAACGAAACATCGCAGAGCTAGTTGAACGGCTTGAGAGAGGATCCGGCAGACAAGTAAATGTCACATCCGCCATCACAAAAATAGACCTGGTCTGTGGGTAGACCTCGTAATCAGTCTGTCGCCAATTGCCGAAAATGTGGCAAGCACTTTCGGTGGTTACAGACTGGTCTTACAGCGATTGAGCTGTCCCCGGAGTTTGAAAATTTAGCGGGTGCCGTGATCGGCCGGCACAAGAGCCATCAATTCTGGTCGAAAGTTGATGGGTCTTTCCACTCTTCCAAGTTGGATTAAAAAATAAGTGAGGAGGCAAATTGAACCATTTTTAGTAAAATCGTTCCTGTGTACTCCAAGCCCATTCATATCTAAACTACAGCCCAGAACAGGACCCTCGCCAAATTTTCAAACTCCGCGGACAGCCGAATACCAGCCTGTAACCACCGAAGTGCTTGCCATATTTTTCGGCAATGGGTTACAGACTAGTTACGAGTCTAGTCTGTGGGTAAATTGGTGAATTGAGGATGGTGATGAGAGGCAACTTCGATTGCTCATGTCGGAAAAATATTTAACTCAGTGTACTGGGATATATAACGGCATGACCGTGCTGCTGATGCACCAGCTTATCCGATGCTCCCCACCCGGAATCCATCCGCCGACGGTAATGAGACTCGACAAACGCGAGAGCAGGAATTTGAAGGACGAAAATGAGAGCCCGATGCGAGAGAATGCGGGAAAATGAAACATCAACCGCGGACATCTCGGACTCCAGAGTAGGCGACTCTTCTGCAGCCCATTCAAGTATAGATAAATCGCGTGCATAGAAAAAAAAACCTCCAGAACAAGCATACTATAGAAGAAGGAAAAAGGAAAAAGGAAGATGAAAGGCCATGCCTTTTAGCGGCAGCCAAACCCGCGCAATCCGGCATATTCGAGAATACCGCGAGTCACGGAGACTCTGTTACGAGGAACATCCGGACACATCGTCGTTTATCTTATCAAAGCAATATGGGTTGAATATCAAAAGAGAAGAATGTGAGACAGACTGTCGGTCATGAATAGGTTATGCATACGTATACCGGTTGGTTAGCTACTTAGATCTTTTGAACAAACGTCTTCGATTCATCAAGGCAGCGCAGAGTGATCCTCATGCCATGTTCTTTGAACTCTTGGAGAAGGACGAGTTCATCAGAAGATACTTGATGATCGGATAAAGCAAGATCCACGATCAGCATATCGGCCGTAGCATTCTCTGCGATCCTCGCCCACGACGTTCGGGACTGTATCATGGCGCGGAGAACCTGCGTACGAAAGATGTAAGCACCCGCGATCTTGAGGTACTCGAGATTTTGGAGCAACGCGGGCCGATCGCGCTGGGGAGTGAGGGCTTCGAGCACCTTGTCGGTGATTCCGTGAGGCAATAGGCCGGTGAG